CGATCAGTGTTTGCTTTATTGCAAATTCTTTCTTTTTGATCTTTTTGGTTCCTCTTATCCAAGTATTGGTATTTCTTCTGTTTGAATTTAGAGATTTTCATATCTTTCAAGGTCAATTTCGACTTTTCAAGTGTCTATTTTTATAGTACATACCTATTAATAATTTTATATATTCTTTGTAGCCATTACTCATAAATATCACAGATGATGGCACTCTATTTGTATATGATTTGGCAAGTGTACTCTAAACTATTTTTTGTGTGATGTGGCGAAGGTGAGAAGAGTCAAGTGGAAAGAGATTTTATTTTGCAACCGCTAATCATTTTCCTTTTATTGGAAGAAAATATTCAAAAATATTGACCTTTTGAAGCCCCTCCTGAACGTATGTGTGCCCAAAAGCTTCTTATTGTTTGGTTGAAGTATTCAAATAAATTGCTTACAACTTAATTTTTAAAGAGGTTTCTTTCATTTACCCAAAAGTATGTCGTTTAGTAAAATCACTTATGCTGAATGACGAAACTATCGACACCGCGACACTGGAGTATGGTACGCGGAACTAAGCCAAGACAGGAAATAGGAATAAGCGGTTAAGATGCATTAAGAGACATTACAACGCTGATTGAGTCAAATAAGAGACAAAAGTATTATAGGGATATGAACACAAAGGAACGATATGCTACTATAATGTAGTTAAGTGTATATTATATAAATAAATAGGAATTCCCAGTTAAGTGAAAAAAGGGACAAGAAGAGAGAAGATTAATATTGATACAAGAGTGATAACTCTCTACTTAGAACGAGCACTACTCATGCGTACACGAAACCTAACGCTTACATGTGTTGAAAGTAGGGCTGGGTTCACATCCGTGCAAGCATTGCACTTGAAAACGATGCTTCGAACATTCCTGTATCAGTTTTGTTCAAAACATATACCACAAAATTGCTGCAAAACTTTTTGGACCCACCAGATCAACATATACGCCCCCACACAAGACCATAACCAGAATATTATATGCTCAATACACAAGTTGTAGGATTGGATAAGGGCGTAGAATGCGTGTAAGTTGTTAGAGCATGGCTTTTTTTTTTTTTCATAAGCAATCTTGTCACTTTGGCAGTACAACTCTCTCATTTTAATAGAGTAGATGACTAAGTGGACTTACTAAGTAACTAGGAAGAAGCTACATACATCCACGTAACGGCAGTAATTTCCTTAGACTTGGAAATGAATCGCTCTAAACTACTGGAATGCCTCGGTATTACCCGCTCAATATGGTAGTGCACTTGACACATTTTGGAACCCCATTTTCCATTCATCAAAGGCAAGTATAACAAATGCAATGCAGGGCCAAAGAAAAATCTGTATCAGACAAGAAAATAGGGGTAGTGGGAGTTGCACCATGTATATAATGTAAACGAATGCTCTTTAGCCAATTTCTTTGTCCTTTGACCTGCTCTGAAGTCAATGGTTTGCTTAGCCGATTTACCCCACGAAGCATTGCAGAAAGTATTTCTTCTTATCAATCAGCACCAAACATTGGCTCTTGCGGCTTTACATTCCAAATTCTATTTCGTTGCAATACCCAAATTGTATCAGAATATCTATGTATACGAAGAGTGGACACTGAAGAAAGAAGAACAAGAGGAAGAAGAGGATCATGAAACGGGTGAAGATGTCGATGAGGAGAAGATGGAAGAGGAGAAGACGGAAGAGGACAGTATCAGCTTCAAATTTCATAAAAATATTAATACTCCAAAAACAAACCGATATACCATAGTTTCAAGAAACGTTTTGGAGAGATACTTAGACCAGATGAGTAAAGATGAAGTAGTATGCCACATTATCATATATCAATACAATGACAGTCTTCTGAAACGCATTGTTAATCACTTCAAAACAATTCGGGTATTTGAAGTAATTCTGTCATTCAAAGTTTACAAATCAAGGTACAGCTATGAAGAAGGAATGCGTGAGTTTATGCTTGATGATTTGAAAACGATTAATCCAACGTGCAATACCGAGTTTGTTCCATCACCTTTTTATTATAGAGATCCATGCCCCATACCACTGGGCATAAAAACAACGCTCAGTTTTAACTTCTACCCTCGTGAAGACAGTCTTTCAAATGTTCTTAAAGAGTATCCATTTCTTACGTGTTTGACGTTGTTTACCATTTGGCTTCACGGATCCCCGATTTTAGATGATCCAAGCTTCTATAAATTGCTTAAGTTGCAGAAATTGCATTTTCACCTGATGATTTATACGACTGTTTGCGCCAGAATAACCGAAGCTTTCGATACCTCTTTGCTTCAGGAGTTGTCCCTTGCGGGAAATATACTTTTTCATGATGTCTTTTCAAATCATCATTTGGAGAAAGAATTTCCCTTGCTCGTGCAACTCTGTTTGAGGCATGAAGGAGACGCCGAAAACCATATTGACAAGATCCAAAAGCTCGAGCAATATAGTCACAGAAGCCTATCCATGCTAATTGTAACCACCAAATGTGGCGACAAAATGGCTGCAAAAACAATGGGGAAACTACAACATAATTTCCCCAACGCCTCTATTAATTGGTGGTACGAGCCCAGGCTTTTTGTGTATGGATATTTAGGGGAAAATGATTCCCGAGTTGACTCTGCATTCACTCACGACATAAATATGCTTAGTCCTCAGCTACCGTTCGGAATTGTGGGTTACCATTTTCCCGAGCTGTACGACATTATTAATACTTGGTATTTGAGGAAGCCTAAATTTCGTCTGGATCCAAAACCAAATTTTCAGTTTATAAGGAAACGTTTTAGTGACTCGGAGTTGCAAGACCAGTCCCTTTCATTCTTGCGAAAATTCTACACCGACTTAGAGTTGAGAGCTATATATGGTCAGTTTAGGGACGTCCATTGCCCACACCTCCACGCCGAATTGAAAAGGCTCAAATTAATAACGTAGCTGATGGGTCAAAACTGATGGAATCGAAATGTAAAGCAAACCTAGTGTATGCCAAGCCCTCCAAAGAGTGCGTTCGAGGAAAGAAGTGAATGTTTTGTTTGTTCTTTACTCACCAGGTGTCTACGACATCAGAGTTCTCTTTCTCCTGAAGATCCAATTTTTTTATCTGTAATTGAATCTGTGTATTTGATTATGAGAAATACTTTTTTATATATCTATAACATCAGACTTTGTTTCTCTTCATGAAGATTTAAATTGAATCTGTGTGTTTGGAGGAGAGGACCAGTTTTTGTTTTTTTCTCCAACACAAAATTGTCACCTTTTTGCAACCACAAAATGTATACAATATATCTTTCTATCTCTTTTCTACAGAAAGTATGTATATACACAAAACTACTTGAGCATATAGTGTTGGAGTATCCTCAGTATGATAGCATACCATATATATCTTGCCACCAAAAAGCTTTTGTAATTGCCTTCCAACCAGAAAACGATATACTATGCACTGTAATACAGAAGCAACTGTTCTAAAGGTTTTCTGTATTACAGTGCATAGTATGAAAGAAATACACATTTATGAAGCCATCATACAGACTATTTGAAGGAATTGTGAAAGCACAGCTCCAATACATCGCATTTGTGGAAGCTCAGATAAATAAATCAAATCCAGTTGTTCAACAGTTTTACTGGTCGAATATTCCAGACCCCGACATCCTCCCACCACACGAATTTAACGCTTTGGTCTATGAAGCATTTGGAAACTGGCTAATACCAATGGAAGAAGATAAAAGAGAGCTATTTAAACAAATACTCACCAAAGTGTGCTCTCTCAGCCACATCATGGAGCCGCTCCAACAAGAAATTCCGACAGAAATGAGCCCAAGCATTATTGAACTCTGTTCTGACCTAGAGAGTTACTTGAGATCAAGATCAGAGGAAAACATTCCTTACTGCGAATTTATAGGTCACATATATGCAGTTAGGAATTCCATGCTTTTTAAGGTTCAATTTAAGGGAAAACTGAATTCCAAAGAGAGAGAGAGTTCTGAGTCAAAAAAGAGAGGAGAACTATATAAATTAAACAATTCAATGCTTCAGGATATTAAATTAGATTCATTCCATTTGAAGGGAGTTTGCCCCAAGTTTACTATTCCAATCGATGACATCAATAGCAAGGAGTCAGGTTATACCTGCTACATTAACCACTGGATCTCCACCATATTTGAATACATGCAAATCAGAAAACAATACCAACAATTTCACAAGAAAATTCCGATTCTGAAACAAGTATCGAGCCTGACTATGTCATGACTTACGATAATCACGACGGTTTTATCACGGAGTTGAAAAGAAAACACATGTCCCATTTTTTTGATGGATCAATTGATCACCAAAAGATTCTAATCCAGATTGTCTTGTATATGTCAAATTGTCGTTTCAACACAGGCTTCCTCCTCACTCCAGCAATAATCGGAAGAATTGTATTCCAAGGTGCTGATGAAGGTACAACTGACTATGACAAAGACTTTCCTTTCAAGAGTGATGTGTTTGATCATCGCCTGAATGAGGAGGGTGGCTTGGTTGCTGGTTGGTATAGTATGTTGAAGGAGAATCGTCCCAGAAAATTAAACGACTTGGAGTCAAGTGAGATTAAATTGGCTCTTGAAAACCTCAAAGAGAAGTTGAGAAAGGAGCAAGAAGTGAACAAGAAGACGAGACCGATGGTAGGCAAGCCCAACTGAGAGTGAGAACGTGGAGGTTCCTCTTGTTTCTGGGTTTTTTTTAGGAAAATGATGTATTTGAACTCATCTAGTTGTCTGTTGCACTGGATTAAAGAAGTTCATAGTTTTAGCTTTAGTTTTAGTTTAATTTTTTTATATTGTTCAATGTCCATCTTAAGCAATGTGTAAGACATTAATGTCTGTTGTCAACTTTGAAGCCTTGCTCGAGGTCTGGTATTCCATTTCGGACGGTGGGATAAGTTCTTACTTGCAACAATGAAATTTCATCATGCCATTTATATCCGCAACTTGGTTGACGAGTAGTTGCAAACGGGGAAGAGTTCGACTCCAGAGCTCTATTGGCCAATACAATTGTCAAATTAGACAACAAATGAATCATCATCATGGACAATACCCTCCGCCAGCTTCATCTCTTTTCAACTTGTTAGCACCCCTAGAAACATCATTTTCATCAAAGCCATTCTCTTGTTTTACCTTAGGTTTCCTGGCTTGCACGAAATGTAGAAGCGTAGCTTCTTTTCCCAATCATTTAAACCATACTCGTTGTCTAGTGGTATAAAAACAGTGCATGATTAGCAGCAAGCTTGTATTCACCGATTATATCCAACATCTACTTGCCAAGAAGCAAACAGTGAGCACTTATTGCAATCCTTAATAATGGTATGGCTCCACTGAATTAAGTCATACAAAAAGCTCAATTGCATTATTGAACAACGTGGAAAATTTTCAAATCGAGGAACCATCAGCAATGGATCATGTTTGTAAATTATCATCGTGGGAGCCACATTCAATCGACAGTTGAACGAATTTTCCAAGAACGTTCACTTCTAAAACTTTAGCTTTTAATCTGAAAAGCACCCCAGAGATTACAGGTGCTATTGGATGATCATCTAGCTTTCTTTTTGCGGGTTTGCCTATTGTGAGGTGTGGAGAATAGTTGAACAGTTTTAGGTACATGAAAAAGTTTGGGAATTAATCTTAGTGGTGACTTATGTACTTTGCTGGAAATAATCATATCCTCTTCATGTTGATGTTATGGTTGATGTTGTGGTTGTCGCTGTTGATCAATCCACGTGCAACTCTATTATGTCTCCTCTTGTTTAATACTCCTCAATAAAAGAATAAATGACTCTCTATGCTGCTGTAGACTGTCTCATAAAGCGTACTTTGCTTTCTCTATTTCGGCGGGTGAAAACAAAAAATGACAGAAAGAAAACTTTGTTTGGACACTACCTTTACGACATAAAATAAAGATACAGTTTTTTTACCAAAGCGACATTTATTATTCATACTAAAATGACATAATTTTTCATACCAGTGCGACATAAATTTTCATACTAAGACGACATAAATTTTCAAAC